CGTCCTTCACTGCCTCGTGACCATGCTTCACTTAATTCTTACTTGATATTGCAAAGTCGCTCTCCATCTCCTATTTCCTTTGAGTCCCTCGCGTCGCATTGCCCTTGCACCTCGAACCACATCCCGCTTCTTGTACGGATGATCCTGTGGCCTCCTTAGCACATGCCCATACCATCGCAGACGCTGCTCTCGTTCCTTCAGCTGGACAGGGGCAGTCTGCATGACCGCTCTGACATCCTCGTTTCTGACCCTGTCCAGCCGCGTCCAGCCGCAGGCCCACCTCAGCATCCTCATCTCAGCGGAGTGAAGCTGCCTTTCGTGATTCTTGTTCAGGGGCCAGCACTCGCTGCCGTATAGCATCGCAGGCCTTACCACTGTCCGGTACACCTTCCCTTTGAGCGTTCTGGAGCACCTTCGATCGCAGAGGATTCCAGTGGACTCCCTCCATTTCATCCATGCAGCGTTGACCGAGCCTTCACTGCCTGATCCACACTACCGTCGGCTGCCAGATCGCTCCCAAGGTATCGGAAGTCCTCCACTCTTTCGATGGTCTCACCATGGCCGTCCACGATCGGCTCTGCACCCTCTTCGGAGCTCAGGAACTTGGTCTTCTTGACATTCAGCCGGAGCCCACCTTCTGCCAGGACTTCTGCCATTTCTGCACCTTGGCTTGAAGTTCCTCTCTGCTATCCGCTATCAGGGCGATGTCGTCAGCGTAGAGGATGGTCTTCAGTGGTCCTTCCATGAGGCCCTTCACCATGGCATCGAGACCCCAACCGTGATGTTTATCTCCTTTGTTAGGCCGTGAGGGGTGCGTATGGCTGCCTTTGGCTCCTTCGTACATGTCCTTCACCAGCGAGATCAGGTGTTCTGGCACGTTTCGTTCCCTGAGCGACCTCCATAGCACTGCTCGCGGTAGCCGGTCGAACGCCTTCTCCAGGTCGAGGAAGGCTAGGTAGCAGGGTCGGCGCTTTTCTATACTTCTCCATCACTTGCCTGGCGATGAAGATGGCATCCGTTGTAGACCTTTCGGCATGAACCCGAACTGTTCCTGGGAGATCGGGACCAGCTCCCGCAGTTTCGAGTCGACCAGGCGCTCGTACAACTTCATGGTACAACAATTCCCTTTCCCTAAGTTCTAAAAGTGCATTCCGGTTTGGACCTACGGTGCCATCCTGAGGAACCCAGCCGAAGTCAAGAGGAAGTGGGAAGAGTACTTCAGGGGCTTCTGAACGAGGAGTTCCCCCACAAGAACAACTCACGGGCAGAGGCCACAGCTGGTCCCATCGCACTCTGGACCAGTGAGGTCGGTGTGCACTTGGGAGATGAACGGCTTGGAAAGGTGTTTGGAGAGCGAAGCTTTGCGCAACCTGCGATTGACCCTGGCTATAGCTTATTCGTTGACATTCTACTACTTTTAACGACTCGACTGTAAGAATTCTTTTCTTATATAAATTTCCGGTCTGGACTTGGCGCGATAGTATTTATCCAGAGAGTTTTGACGGGACTTTTCAAAAGTTCAGAAGGCGTTGTGCAAGAGTAGAAGGTACATCATTTGTCGTTTATTTGCAGCTCCTAGGAGGGAATAGAGATAGAGATAGTCGGGGTTTTGTCAGCAATGCATATGTGAATAGGATACTTTCTGCTCACAAAAACGGACAAAACTCCGCCACTCTTGGACTAGACATAGTACACTGGTGAGCAAAACTAAACTAATTCTTAAGTAAACTAATTTTTACATGATTACGATGCTAGCTTTATGACCGTTATGTCGAGTCGAAATTTGCACAGAAATAGAGAATTATAGTGGTTGCTGATTATCAGAGCGGTATAGGTTTACCAGCAGGAATTATGCGCGAATGCGGAATGGACGTACGTGAGGAATGACGATTTTTTTTGGTCTTGCGAGAATACTCCTTCTGAAGCGGTCGATTGGATAGGTACTCCAATTCATGGCAGACAATTCAAAAGAAGGGAGGGTGTGTTCAACAGATCGGGTTGGTGGGGCGGGTGAAGGAGGTGTGTGAACACTACGGAGTGCAAAGCATGCTCTGCCATGTGCTCCAATGCTGGCCACAAGGTTGGTTAAGAGTTCTTGTGAAGAAGCGATCTATTTCTTGAGACCGCCATTGACAATTGCTGGACAGATGTTGGCGCATGCGCATGAAGATGCGCTACAATAGCTCTCCTGAATGCACACCACATGTGCTCCATAGAATTTGACTGGAAGAGCCGGCAGCTTCACCAATCGCTGCGGAATCCTCGCTTTCCAAGAGTTTTGCTAGCTAGGCTGCTCGATGCTTTCACGATCTTGTCCTCCATACGATTGACGTTGAGGTCAAAGGCACCCTTGAAAAGCTGCACATAAGTGAGGAGTACAGCGTCACGATAACGTAGATCGGAAAGCATTCCGCAATCAGGAGTTGGAGAGGTTGGTACGCCCTTGCAACTTCATGCCTTCTCACACCAAATCGAATAGACTATCAAATTAATTCATGTCTGACGATGGTCTCTAGTAACATTAGCGTGCATCTGGATCATCGACACATGCGTGAGTCCAAAATTACTACTTACATCAATATTGACCCAACGAGAGAACACGCAATCATCCAAATCAGTGGTCCATTGCTAATGTCCCGACACCTAGCTAATGTTCCATCCGATGCGCAGGTTTCGAAGGAACACCTGATACTGTTGATCGGTCAGAGAGACCATGCCCATAGGGTCACTGCATCACTGTTCAGCTTGGAATTACGTGCCTTACAATCTTGATAAATGTTTTTGCAAATGCGGCCTGTGACTGACGTAGGTCAATTCTTGCCTGTTGCAAAACCAACACTACTGTTGCATGATCGAATCCATCACATGTCTTTCTATGTTGCAGTCTTGCTTCCTTATACACACAAAACATAATGTTGACGAGTGTAGCAACCGTCAAAACTCTATGGACCGCTACTCGTTACGAATCTCCTTTTTCCTGTTTCCCAGGGATTCTTCCTAACTTGAAGTCACCCTCGTTCTGTCTCTGAGACTTGCTGTAATCAAGAACACCACTACATTCAACAGCAACTTCTCCCTGCTCAGTACACTCCCTCTTGTTGTTGTCCCACCAAACCCCTCGTTCTTCATAGCCACCCTTTTTTGGCTCTCAGTACCTAAGCCGTCCGCTTGCGGTTGTTGGGGGTCATTATATGAGGTCCACTTTTCATTGCCAAATGTTAAGGCTTTAGCCGCAGTACCTTGACAGTTCCATCAGTTCCATCGTAATTTGTTAATAAGTTTATGTCTCATTATCCATCTCGTTCCATATAGTTTTGCACACGCAGTGTACTAATGCGCTTCGTTTTCAAAGTAGTTATAGATCATTTTAGCTGCTGTGGAAGCAGAGGTGTAAGATGTCAGGTCAGACTCACATGATTGCATCGCGTCGCTCCGGCACTAGTCCATCGCGATGCAATCGCCAAGTCTGACCGGCATCTAAACAGATAAAGAAGATCCTGACGCTATCCTAAAAAGGTGTGCTTAATTTTGTGATGAGTTGCGCACTAGTAGAATCTATTTAGAGAGACTCGACCCATTTTGCTCTTCTCAACTTGGCCACCCTCCATTTCGCCACCCCAAAAAGTGGACCCTTGTCTTTCCGCGTTCTGGCTCTTACAAGAAAAGTAGGGCATTCACGTCGGCTTTAATGTCGTTCAGAGCCAGAACCAATGAAATGACCACATTTTAAGAGCTTCAGCTTTGCCTTTTGAGAGTAATTGGGGGAAAGGGATCAGGCGGTTTTCCTAACCATTCCACCAGCCCAGCGCTCTGAGGGGCAGAGGCAACCAAAGGCACCATCAGCACTGCTCCACCACTCATCGGGTTCACTGCCTTTCAAGCTATTATGATTGATTTGGCGATGCTGACTATTTGCCAACTCTTGATTTCTGTTGCTAAGCAGACTCAGTGCTTTTGATCGGGGCCGTGACCAGGTGCCTATTGACTGAAACAAATCATTCAGCCTACAACTTAAAACAAAGCTCAAGAAATTGAACCGATCCACCTACTGGAAACTAACAGTACATTTTTAAAGGCCGCACCAGCCACGCTTCTCCAACCAAGATTTCCGAACAGAGACACACTCATAGTCTTCAAAAAGGCCAAGCGACAACACCATGGTCGACGGATTCGACCACTTCTATGAAATGTTGTGTTTATAAATGCTCTTATTTGTAAACATGTTGGTGAAAATTCATTTCAAACAGATCGTAATAAATTTATTTATCAAATTATTTATGATGATATCGTTAAAGAAATTTATGCGGGTGACAAACACAAACAAATGCGTAGACGCTTTCAGAGGGTTGACATGACGACAGCGACAAAGAGAGTGAGTGAGAGCGAGAGAGATGGAGAGCGACCCAGACGAACATGAACAAGCGTTTGTAGCTCGAGGCGTAAAGCGGAAGTCGTGAGTTTGCGAGCGAACAGCGCAAACCAGAAGGAACGAAATGCGATTAGTCTGACTGGACAGAAAGCTGTGTTGTGCTTGTAGTGATTATGCAAGCAAGGGCGCACCGAAGACTGAGTTCAGCGAGTGAGGAGGAAGATCTGGGAAGCGGTAAGGAAATGAAAAAGAAAGTAGAAAAATCTGGGCCATTAATTAGTATTTGAACGTAGCTATAAGAAAATGTAAGGAATTATGAGCAGATAATAGGCACGGGAATCACAGCGGAATTCGACTTCTCTACCGATAGATTTACGGTTAAGCGGAAAAGGATGGACTACGCGCCACTATACTCGATTCAGAGGTGTCGTTCGATACTCGATTGAAGAGCCAAGGCGTTTTTGATTACTATTGTAGCCTCACAGGTGGCTTTGACCCTCCAATCGAAAGAAAGCCGAACGGCGACCCTGTGAACTCTTCAACAACCCTTTTCTCTTGATTAAGCAATATATGTCTACAGCAAAAAGAAATCATGTACACAAATAGAATGGACGAAGGGGAGCAGGCGAAGTCACATGCTGCCCATGTACCGCCGAAGAGACGCCTCCATTTTCTGGCGATGAGCGATTCGAGTGACACCCAACTGCGTAAAAGCAGTACGGTCGCAATTCATAAGCGCTCTACCATCTACTCGACGTGCTTGGAATGCGGCCAAGTACTCGTCGAGCCCTGGAATAAAGATCATTGAATTTGTTTTGTGATAGTTTCTTGAAGAACTCCACAGAGTTTCAGGATTGTTCTGGAATTCATTAATTTCGTGGTATATCATACAAAACAAATTATTATGTGAACAGTAGGAGCGGTAAGGATTACGGAGACTATACATAGCGAGTCTTCGGACCCGCAATAGTTTCATTTGACACTTTTCGCTTACGAGGAAAGAGACGAACGTCGCTTTGTTTAACTAATCGGAATTACACTGAACCAAACCCAAGCAGAAAAGCTCGTCACGAGAATAACTATTAAAACCAAAGCCCAGGCTAGAGTTGATGTATTATTTCGTTTGAAATGAGAGTGTAGATGTGAAGTGTTACGCTGGTGATGAAAACACGGGAAGAGAAGGGCGAAAATGGAATTCTCTACCTGGCAGCGTCGATTAGTGCTGAAAATAGATATGTTGTGGTGGAGTGGATTATAATTGTTGGGATGCTTGTTTAGGCCTTAGCGCTTAAATGCATGGGTCGGGATTGAACTGATGATTTATTTTGTTCAAACATTAGGTAGGGAGTGCAACATTAGTAAAGGAGAAAAAGCAAAAAACACCATAGAAAACGCTAAACTTCCCTCAGGATGCGGCCGTAGTACGACGGAGAGACATAGCGCTGCGAGCAGAGGGAGAACGCGAGATAGTATGTCGTACGCGAGAGGACGCAGAGACCACGTATTCCGTGTTGGACTACGCTGGCAGCGCGGGCAGCGCGCGGCAAGGGGCCCTTAGCTGTCGTATTGCGCGGCATATTTTGGGGGGGGCGTCGCAATTTAGTTCGCCCCTCAGTGCTTGTGGGGTGACGGCCACCATCTTCACGTATGGAAACATTCTGCCTGGGTTTGCATTTAAGCCGGACTCGTGGCTTTAAAGCAACAATCCAGGAACGAATTCGCGGGTAAGGACCACCTATAATGACGTTGCAGGTGAGAAGTTGGTCAATGGAGAAAGAAAAAGTAGAAAAAAACGTCGGGCAGGGGCTTAGACAGGGACCCCCCCTGCCGTTTAGGGAGACGTGTGTTGGACGAGTTGTCCGAACCTGCCCGTAGTACATGCGCTCCAATTGCAACTGCTGGCAAATAGCCATGCATGCTTGCAAATACATAACTATTTGCCAGCAATCGAAATTGAAGCGCTTCAATTGCGTTCTTATGGAATCGACCTCATGACAGCGCGGGCGGTCCCGCAACGACCGCTAGTCGAGCAAGCGCTCTGCACAGCTGCTTGGAGGCGGCCCCACCACGGATCGGTGGATCCGCCCCTCTTGAAGGATTTCGACTGCTTCCAACGCCTTTCAGAGGTAAGCTTTGAAGTTTGTGACATTCCTCATGAACTCCAATCAGGCTGAGGCATGTTTCCACCACGCACTTGAAAACCAAATGGTTGAAACCCTTCCTGGACTGTTGCTTTAAGCCAAACGCAAGCCAAGTGGTTACGTGCTTTGCGCTCGCGTATCACTCCACATTTGCGGCGCGAAGGCTTCGATTGGCATTGGAGGGGTGGTATGCCAGGACTGCGTCGTGGTGAGAGGCATGACGATGCTTGTCTGGATAGGCCTGTGTAGCCTCCAGGGGTGGTTGGGGGCATGGGACCCCGATCCTAGACGGGGGCTTGTCTGTGAACAGAACAAATTAGGTCTGTGCCTTAGCCCCGTCTTAGTGACTCCTCGTTTTGCTTCGGTGAAATTACTGAAGATGAATGGAGTGCCTGGAGCAAACATTACCTGATAACGGGAGCAAAACCCTGAGGTAGCGTTTCCTCCAAGTCGGCGAATATAGAGTAAACTCCATGTCACGTAGGTCCGTTAGAGGGCACAAAAACAGGCATAAAGCATGTAGACGAAGTCCGTAATAAAATATGAGCTTTAGCACATGGATGTGGCGCAACGTTGGTCAGTTCAAGGTGAATGGCCGGTCGTCGGTATTTTCAAAAGATGATGTCGGGCGGTTTGGGTTGCGGGGGCGGGGTGGGAGCATTTGTGTACGGTGATCAGGGGGTGCGCGTTGATGGAGATTTTGCAAGTGATTGCCGAGGAGTAGTTGAGAGGATTAGTGGCGCTGTTCTGAAGTTTTCAACTGAGCTCTATCGGTAACCGTTGGCAGAGATAAATGTGACTAGAGGAAACTTCTAGCACGTCGATCTTGTTTTCACAAAAATCAAGCAATTCGATGTTGTACACATGTACTTCCGTCCTTACGGCTCACTCGACTCTCACGCCCGTCTCACGCAGCCGACTCCATTTTGCTCGGGATAGATGGTGTTGGGGAGAAGAATAGGGGTTATGTTGAAGGATATCAAAGACTCGAAATTGCTAGTAATTAACAGTCTGGACGGGTGAAGCGTGGAAGGAGTGGAGGGGGTGGGGGGACGGCTGCGTAATTGAGGCCTCGTAAGAGAATGTAGAGCTCCGTGGAATGGAATTTTCAGAATGAGCAGAGCTGTTAAAGGTTGACCCTCCCCACGCTGTTTGAGATTAAACACCAAGTTCGCTACTTCAAAATTGCGTCAAAATTTGATCTCCCACACAAAATATCACTTCTGAGGAGCTTGTGAATTTTGGTTCATGCAAAACCTCCGCAATTTGACGGGTTTGAAGGAGACCAAGCTCTGAAGCTCTCAAGAAGACCACGTCCTCGAATAGATTGATAACTAGTGTGGTTAAGATGGCCGCCTGAGACGTTAACTTTCTTCAAAAACTCGAGGCCTGGCGGGGAAATTCCACGTTAATCCAAAAATGTTTCGCAACGCTTTCACCATTGAAGACTAGGGGGAACTGAATACAGCTTCTGACTCTGACAGCAACAGACCACTTACCCAATGAAGTTAGCCACTGAAGGGCGTCAGCGCACGTCCATTTTAGTAGTACTTTCCTTTCAAATGACCCACTTTCCGCATCTGGAAATATTAACAAGTATCAATCAGCTGGGTATGTGATGAATAATGTTCGATAACGAGAAATCATTGAATGGGGAGTTGTCAGCTGTATCAAACTGAGGCAACAAGGAAAGAAGGGCATAGATGAAGTTCAGAAACGAGTGAAGCAAAGGGGAAGACACGATCACACAAAGCATTCTAATCTATTCTTACTTTGCGTGTCACTGTCAGAGCCACCGGTACCGGAATCGGGATCGTCGTAGTCGACCGGAGGCACGACCGGTATCAGTGACGGAGTGGGACGAGACTCGGAGGAGCAGCCCGACAGCGTACTCAGCGTAGATGACACTGACATCTAAACAACCAGCACACATGCAAACCCAGAGCAACCGAAACGGAAAGAGGGAGACTGAGGGACAGCAGCGCCAATCTGGCAGGAGAAATCGACCGGAAACGATAGCGACGGTCAGAAGAGGTGAACAAGGGTGGCACAAGCACTCACATTATCAATGTTTTTGCGAGCACCGTAGTTGTCCTCGATGTTCTGACTGATGAGGGCCACGTTGTGCCGCGAAGCGGAACCGTCGACGGTAAAGTGCGGTCGATGCGTATTCGCGTCCGCGCGATCCTCACCGTACTCGGATGGCTCCAATGAGGTTCTCGATGATGTGTACCTAGAACGGAGGCAATAAACAAATCGAAGAAGCTGAATTCCCACTGAACATAGAGAGTTCGAAATATCGCTTCAACAAACCCGCTGTCTTTTTTGTTGGCTATTCCTGGTGGCGAATGCTGCTTGACGTCCTTCGTCTGAACGTTTTCTCTCACTGTCTCTCGGAGAGACAAGCCGCCAAACCGACTAAGGCAAAAGTGGTTACGAAGGGATTTATCTCGGACTCTCTCCTAAGCCAAACATTCACTCACCCATCCACATCGCTTTTGTCTTCCTCATCTTGCTCTAGGGCCACCTTGCTTCTCCGTTTTGCCAAGGCGTTCCTCAAGTCAGCTTGGAAATCAGCTGATCCGCTCGTCGCCAAGCCAACTGGTATCTGGATTTTCCTCTCTTCCGGCTGCAATACAAAAAGGCTCTCATTCCTATTGGAAACTAGAAAACCGGAATGCTCCTCCTACATCAGAGACAGCACTCTTATAAGAAAGAAAAATAGAGCTCCGAGGTTAGCGTGTCCACTCACTTCCGCCTTTTTCAGCGCTACTGAGCGGAGCGCCTCCACAGATATCCCAGCCTTTGTAACTCCTTCAGCTGTGGATGACGATGCAGGAGGTATTTTCAGTAAGTTGGGAGGTGGAGGAGGGGGAGGAGGTGGTACGAAGTTTGACGAGTTCGAACCTGGAAAATGTAAGTTCAAATAAAAGTCGAAATAATAGTTAAATAGATCTGCAATCATACTCGAAGGAGGAGAACTCTGTGGGAGTGGAGGTGGAGACGGGGTGTGGTCAGAATCGTGAGCAGAAGGAAGCACAATGTGCATGGAGCCTGATCCTCCGGAACTGTTTTGCTTCGAATGATCACCACCATACGACGACGATGGCAATCTGAATGCAATATTACCCTTGCACACGTTTTCCGCGAAACCCTTCTGTAACGACTAACCTTTGCGAACTAAGATTATGTGGTATGGACATTACAGGAGGAGGAGGTGGTGGTGGTGGCGTTTTCGGTCGAAAAGCAGGCCGAAATGGCCTGGTGTAGTCACCGCCTGACTGGAAGTAACCGCCACTTTGAGAATGCTGCACGTATCCAAGTCGATCATCATTTTGCGACGTGGTGGACGAAGTCTCGTCTTCGGCCAATTCAAACGAATTCATATGGGGAATGTCTGGAGAGCTCGAATACGTCTTCATCGGTGAACCATAGATGGAGTTCATCGGTTGATTGTTCTAAACCATAACATTATTCAACGAAAAGTAATACTTGCAAATAAATAGCTCAGTATATAAACCCAATACATGTACGACGTCCACAAGGCCAAATTTATCACCGAATTTTAGCGGGCTCTGCCTGTGCTGTCCCGAAGTAGCAAGAACTGTGAAAATATGTGGTTCAAGTATGACTTCCTGAGCGCTGATTGACTTGCCAGTGAAAAAAGATTGAAAACAAGTGATGCCCCTCGTTTTCTAAACAGTGTTCAGGGTAATGAACAGTAGAGACAAGCCGAGCTATTGGAGCGACAGCCATAAGCGAGAGAGCATCCCGGGCACCCGGACGGCAGACCACAACGGTGAGCGTGTTAAGTGTGGTTACTCGATGTGACATGGTTGCACCTTCGAAGCTCCTACGGCCCTTTTCACACATTTTGAGTCGCGAATGTAGTTTCTTCTCTGCGGTTGCAGACCCAACAGCCGCGATAGCGGAAACGGTTGGCAAATACTAGTTGAGTGCGGCTTCAAAGGCGGATTTTACGATGAAAAAGCGGGCCATTAGGAACAAGGGTAGAGGTGGTCAGTGGTGCACCGATATGGAAAAACCATGAGAAATTGCCCAGAATCCGAGAAATGGGATTGTCCGCTGATTCGATCCGATGCAACTCTCATTGTTGGTGCCCTTCTCAACACTAACTACCTCCTCCTAACTCTATAACTAACACTCTCTCTGCTATACACAAGGTCAGACAGCCAGAAGGAGGCGTTCCGCGGCGATAGCGCCGCGGTTTCTCCACTGCCAATTACGTGTCGGTCTACACCCTTAGGCAACCGCCAATCTCCCCGCTAGATAAATTGCCTCTTCTTCGACCTTCTACCTTGTCTTGAAGTCTTCCTTAAAATGTTGGTAAAAAATAATCGAAAGAACTGTTGCTGAGGCAAATGGTGCCCCAACCACACGCATGGTCAATGCCCAGATCTGGTCTTGTTCATCTCAGTCAAGTTTCCCATTCCTCCGAAGTAATTGCTTGTTCTAATTGTAACTGGAATTCGAACGGCGTACTTTGAAAAGGAGCGGCCTCCTAGCCCTTCCACATCTTACACTACTACAAACGAATAAATATACTCCAGGGTATGCGTAAGCTGCTGCGTAAAAGAGTGAACATTGGGCTTGTCCTTTTTTGTTTCCACTATAAGGGGTGCTCCCAAAATGGGCCCCTTGTTTTGCCCAAGTCTTCTCTACACCTAAAAGATAGTCATTCAGGACCAAATGACCTTGCTCAGCGTGGAAAAAATGTTAATCCTTCCACATAACGAGAACGACTTGATGTGATCTTTAGCTATCTCGACCTTGATAACCAGTTGTGATTCTTTCTCACCTGATAATCATAGGATCGTTGAAGGCCTTGCGGCGACGGTGCCGCACGCTGCTTTCGCCTCTTCATATCCGATACGGAGTTGTATTTCTTCGGAGTCTGTGAGCCAATGGACTCCTGAAATAGTGTGGCTCAAATTCGTCCCAAGAGCGGTGGTACTGCTGTGATAATGATGCCCATAATCCTCTTATAGCTAACCTGATCATAAGGAATCGGCTGATAATTGTGGCGCTCCCCTTGCCGAATCATTAGGCTCTCCAGTTCGGCTGCCGAAATCCGTCGGCCTCCTCCGTGCCTCTGCTTGACTGAAGCGCAACGAGTTTCTCCATAGTTGGAACGCAGTTGTCCAGGTGCGTAGTATTCCTCATTCCCTCCTGAAAATATGGTTACAGCTAAGAAATTACTATGCAGTGATAAGCTCACTCCACCAGCATGCGAAAAATGGCAAGCGGGATATCCCGTCCTTGGCAAAATGCACAGGATTGTTCTGTGGAAAGGACGGAGCAGGATAGTGTTTTATTCCTGTGAAACATGCCAATAGGTACCTATTTCAACTCATGCACGATATCGAAAATGCTCTCCAGTGCGGATAGTTTGGAAAAGGTGAGTGCGATCGAAAAGTAGCTGGAGGAGTTGAAAGATTACAATAGATTACCGTGGAATCCGTAGAGACTTTGACTTCCTCGAAGTGATAGCGAAGTAGATGGATGCCTCACAGGAGGCGGTGGTGGAGGAGCCATGTACGAGCCACTGCCAACTGTAAGCAGCCAACTCGACACTACGGTTCTTCCAGTGATCAATTCTAGTTTAGTTCCTAGTGGATTTCCCTCTGCCCAAACAAATTGTTTTTCCAACTCGGGCCTGTCTGCGATTGGTTGACTCGCGCGTGCAGCCAATCACAGACGAGTGGGCGTGTGCGACTGGCACTCCTACTGGCCGCTACTCGGCAAATTGTCCCGCTAGAGTAGCTGAGAAGGTGTCGGTAGCAGTTTTGTGGTGTACCGCGGGGACTGACAAGGGAGGTCGTTCAGGGTGTGCCAAGCTTTTTCAAAACGGTTTCTTGCATGATTGGGGCACATGCGGGGACCACAGAACCATGGTTCATTTTTCCTGAACGGCCCTCTGAATACCAGAAAAGGGGTCCCTAGTTCGATTCCTCGTGGTGACAAGTTTTTGCATTTCGAGTTGACGTTTCCAAATTTCGCGCAAAATGGAGTTAGCATGAATAATTAGTACCAAATTCATGATTAGGAACGTCAGTAAAAACAACCCAATGTTCTGTGGTTTTCCGATTGAGCTCTAGTACAGGGTTCTGTTCCCTATCGTTAGTTACTTTGCGAGAAAATTTTACGACCCCCTCCCTAACGCTGGATTCTGTGAAACGATCCCCTTTTCCGTACTTTCCATTCTCAAACCCGCCACTTTTTCCTTCAAAATTGCCGTTCGAGCAGGCTATTATAGTCACTGATGAAACGGAAATATCTACGGAAATTACTTCTCTTTCACCATTCCTCCACCCATTTTCTCACCTATACTCCCACTACTTCCTTTTCTAGGGGGGGGGGGCCCGCTGAAACGGCAAATTTTTATCCTGCGCGCCCTCCACTCGCCCAGCCTACTACCCACGAAATCTTAGTTTCACCTCAATCCCACACGTGATTTCGAGCGACTAAAGTGGGTACGACCCCCCCCTCCTACAAACTCAACCAGGTACGACCCCCCCGTTGTTACTCGTAACAACGTAGGGTTGACCCTGCTTATATCATCGCATAACCGTTTTGACCGTTTGGGCCAAACCGTTTTGACTCATTCTGAAAAATTGGCTTACCTTGAAGACCTTCTTTGTAGTGTTAATCGATTCGAGCGACACCCCTTATACGAGGGTAGAGGCGCAGGCCGCGGCCGCGCGACAAAAAAAGGTGCAGATGCAACTTAGCCGAGTTGTCGTTGCGTTGAGGCGCCGGGACCAATGCTAATGACCAGTCCGATGGTCGCCGACTATGGCTGGGAGCAGGGTCAACCCTATCGTTGTTACTTTTTGAAAATTTTTTACGACCCCCTCCCCCAAGGTGGATTTGATACGACCCCCTTTTCCACACCTCGACCACCATCATCGTCTCTATAGTATTTAATTCTGATACCACTCAACCCACCCATCAAACTCCGCCCACTTTTCCCTGTCGCACAATATGTTCTCCCCTTTATGGATGAGACCCGGATTTCATCGAGCTCTGAGGGATAACTTCGAAGATAAAGAAGTTCACTAAAACTCAAAGCACTCAGCAGGAAGAAATCCACCGAATGAAGGATTGCCAGAAGGAGAAGAGCCTTCAGTACAAACACAAGCAGGTATGAAGCACACATCCTCTGTAGTACTACACTTGCAACCCGAAACACAAACATCAGCCGGGTAGGTGACTAAGAATTTTGTACAGTGCGGAGTCCAGCGCCTATGACGCTCCCTAATTGGAAAGGGCCGATCTGAACAGCTATGGTGCTTGGCCTCTGGAGCGCAGTCATGCCTGACGTCGCGGAATTTTCGGAGTACGAGAACCGATTTCCTTCTGTCAGCATCTTGGGTAGTCCTCATCCGACCTCCCTAAGTATCACTAGTGGGAATACGTGCGAAGTGTTCATAATCAATCTAAGCCAAAACAGCAAATGGGAGTATCCCTCCCAAATCACTAATTCCGCGACGCATTTTTGACTTTGCTTCAAAAAGCATGCTCTGATCAAGATCGGCTCCCTTCCAGAAGGCAAGAGTCATGAACCAGACTCCACAGAAACACAGCACAACTTTTAATCAGAACGAGATTCTCCTCTCTAATCAGCACTCACCTGAACGAGGTCTAGATGGCATCGCGGCAGCAGTCATGGGAAGAGAAGGATCGACGGTGATCACCTGAAAAGGACTCATTCAAAAGTTTCTTGAATTAGTGGTCCATATCAAAAAATCATGCCTTAAGGGTGATGGTGACGCCGGCTTGTTGAATGAGGTGCACCACTTGTTCATGACTTGCACTTCTCACGTCGATGCCGTCAATTTCCAGCAAGTAATCACCTAAACATCATATTGAAACCACCTTCAAACAAGCTTAAAGCCGCAGAACCCACCTGGCCGCAGTCCTGCTCTCATTGCCATTCCAGACATGTCCACTCCTTCGAAGAACTGAAGAGCCGGCGACAACGGTGATGGCTCAAAATCCATTGGAGAAGTAACATCTGAAACTCGCATGAAACTACAATTGTTAACTTCTTTTGATCAGACACTTACGTTTTGCTCCTCTGAGAATAAAACCGAATCCCTTCGGACCCCTGGGAATCACGAGGATGCGAGGTACATTGGCTTCGTGCCCTGGAGCCATGCCCGGTGTGAATCGACGCATTGTGCCGTATTCTGAGGGCGTGATGGTGGAATGACTGATGCGTGAAGGAGTCGGCGAAGGCGCTGCCTGCAAATTGTCAAATTTTTCCCTTGATGACTTATTTTTTGACGGTGATCAACATACTTGAGGTGGTTTACTTCTCTGCGACTGGGGAGTGCCGTAGATGTCCTGACTGTACAGCGATGACTGGCTAAGTGACCGACGCTTGGAGAGGCTGGAGTTCAGTCTCCTCCGAGTCGAATACTGTGGAGTTCCACGATAGGGTACTAAACACAATTCTATTCAATTCGTTCTGCGTCTACAGCGATCTCAGTGAATGGGTTAAGAAACAAGAACATGGAAAACCCCTCAACGCTTCGTTCTATGGAAACAGTCTTATCGGCATTTCATGTGGTATTTTTGTAATGATCAACTGGTAATTCTTAGGTTCACAAAAAGATGTCAAGGCGCGACAGACTTCACATAAACCTCGTAAAGTGAGAACACCGCCTCTGATCCCTGACTCATTACTCGGGCAATTTTTATCAATCAAATCTATTACTACTACTGCAGGGAGGAAAGGGTGTATATAGCGAAGAATGGTGTTGTTTACCACCCAGACGGTTCTGTGATCAAGTCGTGGACCGTGCGCCATTGAGGCCCCACTGAGACCTTAGTCTGAACGTGGCCAGCTTCACTGGCATTTACGACCTTTTGTATTCAGAAAAAACAGCAGCGCGCGAAATGCAGAAGACACACACAGCACAAAGCGACGACACACCCTTCACAAAATGTAAGTTTTCTGCCACTGACATTACTAGCCAGCTGCAGTTGTATTCTATCAGTTGCCACTAATTAAAAGCATCATCTATCAACCATGAGCTATCACTATGATTCACCAGTGACCACATTTACTTTGAGCCAGGGTCAACCGTCACGTTGGACCGATTTCGAAAATTTTTACCCACCCCCTCCCCCCCGAGAGGGCCTCGATACGACCCCCCCTCAGATCAACCCTTCACCACCCTCGCCTGCCATCGCCATCATGGGGCTCATTCTATAGTATTTGATTCTGAGACCAATCTGACGACGTCCAAACAATACCGCATCGGGTCAATCGGTCACCCGCGCCCCCCCTATTTCCGTGCCAAAATAGTACGACCCCCCCACCTCCTCGTTGACTTTGTCGCAAACAGAACGGTTGACGCCTAGCATTGAGCCCGTCGTCACCTGTGGTGTGTGGTCTGCAGCAGACGCGTTCTGGTTTTCCGAAACAAGGGGTTACATCGATGAGTCGCCTCAGGTCATTTCCTAGTTCATGTCGCGCTCAGCATGTCGGCTAGGCTGTTAAATAAAAATGGAATGCTTGGCGCATCCCAGGAAGGTATCAACGAATGTTGGATGATCTACCTCTGCTTTTTAATACACAGCTCAAACCCGCTTTGATTCCGATGTTCGTCCTCATAATCGCTATAGAAGTGGAACTGACTTTGATATAAATCTTGGTAGCGGTAATCGCCCAAAAACCTAGCAGAAATGGAAATATCCCGTATCGAACCGAAAGCCTTTTTCGAGGTCTACACACTCAGAGGAGGATCGATGCATTCGAATTCTTTTGTAAGCTTGCGTTTTTAGGGAAAGATTGCAATGTTTGCCTTACGCGCAAACCCAATTGTAGCAGAGCAACCATCGAGAACCTCGTTTTCATGCTATTTAGGATAAGATGAAGAATAAATGGCGCACCACTAGCAGACGGGTTGTGTGAAGCGATGACGTCGGCGACAGCAGTGGTGCCGACGATGTGAGCGACGTGTAAAGCGGTCTGTCCCTGCTTATTCACAGCCAGATGATTCGCCCCCCGAAACAGAAGCACTCGAGCGCAATCAGAGCCTGAAAATGAATTTTTGGAATGATAACTTTATATAACAAGTGATAATGAGTGATAATAATCTCTTTTTTGATAAGAGTGGAAGCATACGAACAAGCAGGGCTTGAGAGCCATGTATTTTCTTACAGAATGGATCTCAATGCTTTCCTGATGTCCCTTTCATGTGGCCAAGAAAAAAGTGACTATTCTTCCTATTCAGTTCACAGTCCAGTAGAAGTAAATTAAAGAGTACTTCGTTGAGGGGCGAGGGAGAGTGAGAGGAAGGAGGTCCACGAAAGAAGAGGGCTTCCGCATGATCAAGTCCGCAATATGAACATTTTGAGAGATCTCTGGAGATCTTCTTCAAGAAACTAGGAATAGCCTAAGGCCGATGTCAGACTTTGCGAATCGCGCGATTCGCTACTAGCGATTCGCGCGATTCGCTAGCGTCCGCGGTCGCGTTGCGGTACCAGCCAATTGAGTGATTCACTGGCCGCGACGCGACCGCAGACGCTAGCGAATCGCGCGATTCGCAAAGTCTGACATCGGCCTAAAGCTTGCCAGTTAAGGTAGTGTTAGTGAGTGCTCAGTACCCATTCCCTAAAGAAGATCTTGCACACATGAGGGGCAGGGATAGCTCAATTCTACTGAAACTCGAGGGAGCTGTTACCGGAATGCGAAAATTCGAAATACCCTCGGGACAGTAGTGCTCACTTTGGGAAATTCAATTGAAATTTTTTTTGAATATTGGACGGCTCGAGCGAAGGTCGACTTCGAGTGCGGATCAAAGGCGATTGTGAAAGCCTTGGAAAGCGAAGAAATCAAGGCAAACAGTACCGATTGTTGACTGAGCAGACATGTAGGGGAGTGTTGCCGTTCACATTTTCCGCGTCCACGACGGCGCCATAAAAAAGAAGATGCTCGACGTGTTTGGCCAATCCGTTCTTGCACGCCTGGAAATCATTGGTTAGTTGTAATAGGCTGGACTCGGAAAGAGCTCCCCATAAGGGAAAACACTGAAAAAACCAAACGCACACGAGCTCTCCGAGGGAATGCGAGTTGCGTGGTTGAAGTGGACTAGTTGTAAAGATACATGAAAAGTCAGGTAGTTGCTAAGAGGGACAGAATTCTGGACCATACCAGAACCAATTACGTGCTTCTCATGTGTCATACGAGGATGCTTGTCGCGCGTTTTTCGTGGGTAATTTGAGCCGATCAGCGGACTGTTGAAGGCCATTTAGCGGACCAGAAAGTGACACACACACGTCTGAACACGCATGGATTTACGGGTTGTGGGCTAAGAGAAAACAGGAAATAGCTCTATAAACAATCCATAAACAAGGTAAACAGAAACTGTCCGTTGGCTTCTTGCCGTGTAAACAAATTAGGGCTTCAGTCATGGCTCTATAGCATATTCCCAGTACTGTTGAAGTCTAACAGAGTGCGCCTCGCATTTCAATTCTGTTTGAAGTCTTCAAATTGACGGGATACGTGACATGACGGAATACGATTCGAAGTCGCTTTTCGTCTTCTGGC